TCGCCTTGGAAAGCATGTCGTGGCAGCCGACATCCAGGAAGACGCGCCCCGTGACCTTCTTCCCAACTAAATAAAGCACTTAGTGATTTTGTGCTGGCATTTGGATGAACACACTGGCGTCGAGGGGAACGACACGTGCTCTCGGTCGGAGTGGGGGGCGGCGAGCATTTGGCTGGCTGCTTGTCAAGCAGCTCACCCAGTTGCAATTGTGCCTTATGAAGGTGGCCAGCTGGCAGGACAGGAGTGACCTTGAACATGAAGTTCCAGTTGAATGTGCAGTTTTCCTGATGGGTCTTTAGGCCCCATTCCTTGCCTGCCTGTTGGTCCTGTGCACTCCACCTGTCTGCTGGAATTTTCTAGAGAAGAGAGGATGAGCCTGAGGGAGCTGCACTGGCACCACCTGTCGAACACTAAGGCTCCCCTCACTGCCCACCATCAGACCTCGATGCCGAATTGCCACCAGCCCCGCCTCACGGGACTGCCTCCAGCTGTGATCTTTGTGGAATCGTGTTTGTCACATCTTTAATGATAATTAAACTGATATTTGCTAATGCCTCATTTCACATAATTTGCATAAGAGCACTGTGAGATGGAAGGACCATGATCACCCCTGTTTTACAGATGATGAAGCCCCTCAGAGAGGTTAAGTCACTTGCCCAAGGTCACACAGCTAGCAAGGGGCAGAGCTGGCATTCGAACCCAGGCAGCCCGCATTGTTAACTAGCACCCCATGCCCTGGCACTACCACGAGGTTGTGTAATCAAGTTCTCATCTTGTGCTGCTTCCAGGCTTCATAAGTCAAAACAGCCCTTCTCTCCTTCGTGGTTTCTTCCACCTTCTTAATTCAGTCCGAGTGTGTGTGCTTCTAAATAGAATTCCTCCTGGACCGAACCACTGGCCAGAACTCAGGGTGCTATCTGGGTGAGGTTTGTGGGCAGGAGAAGGAAGGTCCGAGTGCTCCCCTTTCCTTGGCTCCCTCCGCTGCGAACCCACACAGGGCCACCCCCGTGAACCTGCAACTTGTCCCCATCGGGAGTCCAGGGCCGCAGTCTTTCAGCAACACAGCCGGGGGCACCTCGGGTCCCACTGTGGGCCAAGCCCAGGGCTGCAAGGAGCCGCCCAGCAGCTCCGTGAAAGAACCCGCGCAGGCTACACATGGGAAGACCAGTTCTCTATGGCAGCCTCATCTCCCAGCCCCATGTTTGACCCCAAAAAGCCGATTTCAGGGCGGTGGTTATGGAATTGAACTGTCTTTTCTTTGCTCTCCTCTGCCTTCCTACTAGTCTGCCCACAGCTTGCTGAGAAAAACACTTGAGAGGCTTTCACTCTCCACACCTACGCACTTAAAATACCAGGCCCATAGGTCATTTTGATGAGGGAATTTGTCTAATAACACGTTAGGCCGTGGGCGCAGCTACCATCGCGGCAGGTGCTGGCCAAGAAGGGCTGTGTCTCGGCAGGAATGAGCTGGGGCGTGGCCAGGTGTGGTGGGGGCGTGGTCAGGGTGTTGTGGGCGTGGTCAGGGTGTGGTGGGGGCGTGGGCAGCACAGAGGGCGGGGCTCCAAGGGTCAGACGTGCCCACTGGCAGGCCTGTCCCGGGTGTCGAGTTCGGTGCCAGGTCTGCACAGAAGAATACAAGGAAGTGGAAGGCAGAGCTTTCCTAGAGTGGAAAAATGTCACACACACCTGTGAGCCAAATGTCATCACTTACTGCCGCTGTCTATGAGGTCATGAGCAGATGTCATGGTGTTCAAAGTTGTACACAAGAGCTCCGTTGTGAGCCGGAATACCTCCGCCTTCATGAGCCACAGTTACTGGGGCCAAAACGCCCCACCTAGTAGCTTTTGCCGGACAGACACTTCTTGACTGCACATAAAATGATGGGCATAAAATAGTAGAATTTTAATTATAATTACAAGCCGTGATTTCGCAAATATTCACTTTGGTTGAATTTCCTTCCCGATTCAGTAGGCCAGTCTCTGTGGTTAACCAGGGGGGTGGCGTTCAGCGCCAGAAGCCTAAATTCAGCTCAGGAAGAAAGTAGTTTTGAGCTATAACCCAGGCTCTCAATTAGCTGTTGAGTACGGTTTGGAGCCATTATCATCCCCAGGACTGTGTTCTCTTTTAAGAGCAGTGGCAGAGCATAGGGAAGGTACCACAAGTCTGGATTCCTGGTTCTGGTGCCGCTGAGTTTGAAGGTAGAGCTTGGGGACCTCATGGCAATAATATGAAACACAAAGCTGGGAGATCGGGGTTTTCTGTGTATCCAAGCTGTGTGACTTTGGACAAACCACTCACCCTCTCTGAGTCTTAGCTTTGTTGTCTGTTAACCAAAGGCAATGAAATCTGTCTTGTTTATTTCATGAGACTGCTGGAAGGACCAGATAAAATTGTATATAGGAAAGTGCTTGAAAACTTGTAAGTTCTACACAGTCCTGAAAATACCAACATTAGGAAGACAGTGGTCTTTGTTGTCATTTAGGAAATCAAGGATAAGATGGTTGTTAAGTTGGTCGCTCAGTCATGTCCGACTCTTTGCGGCCCCGTGGACTATACAGTCCATGGAATTCTCCAGGTCAGAATACTGAGTAGGTAGCCTTTTCCTTCTCCAGGGGATCTTCCCAACCCAGGGATCGAACCCAGGTCTTCTGCACTGCAGGCAGATTCTTTACCAGCTGAGCCACCAGGGAAGCCCAAGAATACTGGCATGGGTAGCCTATCCCTTCTCCAGCAGATCTTCCCGACCCAGGAATTGAACCAGGTCTCCTGCATTGCAGGCGAATTCTTGACAAACTGATCTATCAGTTCAGTTCAGTTCATTTCAATCGCTCAGTCGTGTCCAACTCTTTGCGACCCCATGAACCGCAGCATGCCAGGCCTCCCTGTCCATCACCAACTGAGCTATCAGGGAAGCTGATAGCTAACCATAAGTTAAACTTACGGTTAACAAAGGGGAAAGGGGCAGAGAGGGAGAAATAAGGAGTTTGCAATTAACAGATACATACTGCTATGTATAAAATAGATAAACAACAAGGACCTACTGAATACCACAGGAAACTATATTCACTATCCTATAATAACCTATAATGGAAAAGAATCTTCAGAAGACTATATATATATAAATATCTGCAGAAGATTATATATATATATATAAATATCTGCAGAAGACTATATATATATATATATATATATATATATGTACCTGGCAGGCGGGTTCTTTACCACGAGTGCCCCCTGGGAAGCCCTTAATTCATCTGTGATGTGCTCAGCCATGTTCAACTCTGCAGCCTCATCGACTGTAGCCTGCCAGGCTCTTCTGTTCATGGGGATTCTCCAGGCAGGTATACTGGAGTGGGTTGTCATGCCCTCCTCCAAGGGATCGTCCCAACCCAGGAATCGAACCGGGGTCTCCTGCATTGCAAGCAGGTTCTTTACCAGCTGAGCAGCCAGGAAAGCCCTTAAGCCACCTACTTTGTGATAATTTGTTATAGCAGCCCTAGGAAGGAAGAAGTGTTTTAATGGAATCTGAAATGCTGGCATTTCAGGCAGCAGGGGAAACACCCTGGGTGCAGGCACATGCCTACCTGTGGAGATGGATAATGGGATTTATCTCAAAGATAAAACTGGAGTGAACAGTGACACTGTATGTATCCCACGAACGCCTTCATTTTGCAAACCAGGAAACTGAAAACTGGAGACGTTAATTATGTGTCCAGGAACCTAAGTCTTCTGTCTTGCAGGAAGAGCTATGCCTCTCTCTATGTCTCTCTGTACACACACACACACACACACACACACCTTTGAATACCATATGCCAGATGCTGTTTTAATGATTTTACTCATATTACCTCATTTAACGTCCTCCACAATTCTATGGGTCTCCCAAATAGAGGCCGCCTGCCAGTGCAGGAGATAGCAGAGACGCAGATTCCATCCCTGGGTCTGAAAGATCCCTTGGAGGAGGGCGCGGCAACCCACTCCAGTATTCTTGCCTGGAAAATCCCATGAACAGACGAACCTGGCAGGCTACAGTCCATAGGGTCACACAGAGTTGGACATGACTGCAGTGACTCAGCATGCACACAGGCACAGTTCCATAAGGTAGGAGAAGTTATGTGTTCCCACCTTCAAGGTAAGGACACAGACAAAGGGAAGACTAGTGACTTGTTTAAAGTCACTTAGCCAGAATTCAAACCCAGAGGACATTCTCTGAACCACTTTGCCAAGAAGAAATGCTTTTAAATAGCTAATATATTTATATATTAATATTTTTATTATAAATTATGTTTTGAACAATTTTTTCTAATTATTAAAATCACTGCATGACGTGTATACAATGAGTACATACTCACATTTTGTGAGTATGTATAAGACATTTAGATGGAAATCCATGTGCATATTTATGCTCAAAATTGTCATTGAATCTCAGTCTGTCAATTATATATCCTTCTGTCTTGCCAACCCAGTGAGTGCCTATGGCATAATCAAAATAATATTTTAAATCACCAACAATTAGTATTTTCAAAATACAGAGAGAATCATTCCAATTAAGTCTATCCTCAGAAATTCTATTTCTCCTAATCCTTGGAGGTACAATGAACATTAGAGGGGAAAGACAAAAATGGGTTCTTTTACTCCTTTTGCCCTGAGCTTATTAAAAGGGAAGACATGGGGGGTTTCTAGCTGCCAATCTGCCCCTATGTTCCTGGGCTCTTGACCTAAAAGTAAACACATCTGAATCTCTCTTGATCCTGTGTTATTAATGATCAAACAAAAGCCGTGTGACTACCGGATGTGCCACATCTAGACAGCATAGTTGTACTTTCCAGAATTCCAGCAAAGCCAAACTAAAAGGAGTATTGGAAAAACTGATAACATGTGCTCAAGCCCTGCCCCGTTTCAGTATGAGGGCTGGAAAGCATACATTAATTTTGAATTACCCAGCAAATATAGTCAGGCGATCGTTTCATCCTTCTTTGCTCTCTTTTGTGTTCCAACAGGGAAAAGCTTCACTCTGACCATCACCGTCTTCACAAACCCACCGCAAGTCGCCACCTACCACAGAGCCATCAAAATCACAGTGGATGGACCCCGAGAACCTCGAAGTAAGTGGGCCCCCTTCGGGGCTGGCACCCCCCTGCCCCCGCCCCAGTTGGTACACTCAGGCACCAGGGACCATGTCTTCGAAGCCTTGCTTTCAATCAGCATCACCCAGATGTGGCTGAAACCTCTCCCAGAGGGAAATGTCAGGCCCCTGTAGAGAGGGAGAATTTTACTTTTGATGCTCTCACTTGTCAAAGGCTGTCTCTGGGCTCCGGGCTCTTTTTTCAAAGCATCCTTTTAGAGGGCAGAAGGAAATCAGACTGACTCAAGTACATGTTAGAATCATCTGGGGACAGCACAGGCCTAAGGACCAAATATGTGGTAAAGTTCCATGGAAGACTGGCCAGGCACAGAGGTGGCCCAAAAAAGGCCAGAGAGTCAGAGTGGACCACAAGGGGCTGATTACCATCCATGCTGGCCTTTTATTCATTTGGAGGCTGGAGATGAAATCTACCCAAATGACCCTTTTCTTTCTGTGCCACAGATCAAAATCTTATGACAGGATTGTTTAAAATAGAGAATGGGAGGCGGGAGAAATGCCTGGGGGAAAACCAGCAAATATAGAAAGATGGTACCAGAAAAATAGCTCCTGCGAGAAAAGTTTTTTTTAAAAAGGAGTGGGGTTGTTTAGTCTGCAGAAAAATGTCTTCACGGTGACTGAATGACGATCTTTGAGTAAACACAAGAGCAGCACTCTTTTCCAGAACCACACCCTTCCCTTGGATGGAGGCTGGGTTATACTTGCAGATCTGTGGGGCTGACTGGAGCCCCAGCCCGGCATCTGCATGCCTTCTAACCATGTCAGGCCCCTGGTGGAAAATTAATATCCTCTATTCTCAGGGTCGGGGTAAGGGGTGAAAAACTGGGCTTCCTGCTAGGCCAAGAAGTTGAGACGCAGGCGTGTCAGGTTGTAAAGAAGTGGTTAAGAATTTTGAGTGCTGGGCTGAGCAAGTGGAGTGCGGGGCTGAGGTGCTTCAGCTTTCAAGAAGTTATGGAGGCTCTCTGAACCTCAGTTTCTTCATCTGTAAAATGGGGATATTAATGAGAGCTTCTCTATAACTTGAAGGAGACAGTGCTCTGTGCCTGGCGTGGAGAATAGAATCAGGAAATGCCAGCGATCCCGACTTGTGCCTCCCTGCCTGCGCCTCAGGGTGCCCCTCCACCCCCTGTCCCCCAGTCCATGAAGACCGGCCCTGTGGTGGTGGTATTGGGGGCCCCCGCAGCAGGGCTGTCTATAGGTCAAACTGTGAACACTGCAACTCGTGGCAGTCTTCCTTGGAGTCCTGGCCACAGCCTCATGGTACCGTGATCACCCCGGGCGCTGTGTCAGTCAACCCTCCAGACACCCCCAAAGTGGGCGGAGCCCCACAGGAAACACACGCCCACCAGGGACCACCCGTCAGGACGAGCTGTCCGGTCGCCATCTCTTTGGCGCCCTTTGCCTGTTTTCTTTCTGACCTTATTTCCCCCCCCGGCTGCCGATTGTTCTCGTTAAGTACCTGGAGATGTTCTGGCCACACCCAGACTCGGGAAACTCCTGGACTTGGTAACCACCCCCGATTCCCATTTCTGTGTGAAAAGAAAGCCACAGGCGCAGAACCACACAGTTCCAACCAAACCCAACTTGGGAGGTTTCCAAAGTAGGAATGTCAGACTGAAGATGCCTAGTGACCCTGCGTTAAACACACCAGACACACCACGCAGGCGCCCTGGTGCTCGCCGAGGACCAAAGAGGAAGCAGGCTCAGATCACAGCAGGCGCGGGACGGGGCGCGGGGCAGTTGTGAGGTTTGAGGCAGTTGGCCTTGAGGATACTTCAACTTCCAGAAAGGCTCACTCAGGAGGCTGTAGAATCCCTTTCTTGAAAAATAAAAGCAAGTGGATTTCCCTGGTGGTCCAGTGGTTAAGACTTCTCCTTCCAGAGCAGCGGGTGTGAGTTCCATCCTTGCTCATGGCGCTAAAATCCCACAGGCCTTGTGACCAAAACACTGAAACATAAAACAGAAACAATCTTGTAACACATTCAGTGAAGACTTTAAAAAATAAATAAGCACACAAAATTTAAAAAATAAAAATGGAAGCAGGGAACTGGGGAGGGGTAACATAGAAGTAGGAGGTTAAGAGATACAAATGATGATGCATAAAATAAATAAGATACAAGGATATATAGTTGGAGGAGGGAATGGCAACTCACTCCAATATTCTTGCCTGGAAAATTCCATGGATAGAGGAACCTGGTGGACTAAAGTCCATGGCATCACAGGTCATCGGAAGCGACGGAACAATCAATACACTCACACACACAAGGATATATAGTACAACAGGGAGTATGACCAATATTTTACAGTAACTATAAATGGAATATAACCTTTAAAGCTTGCACATCGCTATGTTGTACACCTGAAACTTATTAATATATAATATAGTACATCGGCTGTGAAAAGTGAAAGTGAAAGTCGCGTCTGACTCTTTGTGACCCCATGGTCTATATAGTCCATGGAATTCTCCAGGCCAGAATACTGGAGTGGATAGCCTTTCCCTTCTCCAGGGGATCTTCCCAACCCAGGGACTGATCCCAGGTCTCCTGCATTGTAGGCAAATTTCTTTACCAGCTGAGCCACACCGAAAGCCCAAGAATACTGGAGTTGGGTAGCCTATCCCTTCTCCAGCAGATCTTTCCAACCCAGGAATCAAACCGGGGTCTCCTGCATTGCAGGCAGATTCTTTACTAACTGAGCTATCTGGGAAACCCTGTACCTCAGTTAAAAAGAACATTTAAGTAAAAGTAGAAGCAACAGCCATCTCTGGGAGAGTTCAAAGGCAAACCTACCAGGAGGGAAAAACTTAAATCAGGTGAGCCCTCCATATGCCTTCCACTGCCTCCCTTCACTGATGCATAAAAAAGGGCAGTTTTTGCTGTATAGCAAGTATTTTCCTGTAACATTCAAAGAACTAGCAGTGATTGAACTTCGAAAAATAAATGATGGGCGCTTGAATTTTTAAGAACTGGCCGTCAGAGGGGAAAAATATGTGATTGTAATGGGCCGCCTGCATATACAGTGGACTCTGCTTCCTGCTGCTTTATGACTTAAGAAAACAGTCATTATTGAGAACGGTTTTGGAGTAGGCAGAAGGGAATTGGCTCCAAAGAGGCACCCATTTTTACGGAGTCTTTCCTGCCAAATGGAATTTGGGGTCTGGGGAAAAATTAACTTAAAAACCAAATTAAATTAAATGAATATATACAAGTATGATATAAAGAAGTGTTGCAGGCTTAAGTAGAGACTGTCTATTTCACAAGGGACTTCTAGAAAAAAGTCAAATGCACACAGTCTCCCAGGGTGAGTCAGGTAATGCTGCCTTTTCACTCCGGGAAGCAAGGCGGGCCTTTAGCATGCATTTTTCTTATTATCATTTGGATGTCTTGATTCAAGGTGGGAACTACTTTTTGATGAAACTGTGTTCACAGCCACTTTTTTTTTTTTAAGAGAAATTAACAGAATTCCCCCACCCCCGCAACTTGATTGAGATATCGTTGGCTTATTGTGTCAGTTTAAGGTTTACAACATGATTATTTGATATATGTCTACATTGAGAAATGATTACTGCAATGAGATTAGTTAACACATTCTTCACATCGTATAGTGACGGTTTGTTTGTGTCTGTTGAGGACTTTTAAGATCTACCCTCTTAGCAGTTTTCAAATATATAATGCAGTGCTGTTAACTATAGTTCATGCTATACATTAGTCCCCAGAATTTTTTCATCTTATAACTGAAAGTTTGTACCCTTTGGTCCCTTTCCCCCACCCCGACCCCTGGCCACCACCAATCTACTCTCTGTCTCTGTGAGTTTGTGGGGTTTTTTGTTTTTTTATGAGATTTCACATATAAGTGAGATCATACAGTATTTGTCTTTCTCTGTGTGACTTATTTCAGTTAGCATAACACTCTCAAGGTTTATCCATGTTGCAAATGGTAAACGGCAGGGTATCTTTTGTATGCCTGAATAATATTCCTGTGTGTGTATGTGTGTGTGTAAACACATCTTCTGATTGTTACCATGTTTTGAGTATTGTGAATTATTCTTTCCAATGCACTTTTAGGGCTTCCCTGGTAGCTCACTGGTAAAGAATCTACCTGCAATGCAGGAGACCCCAGTTCTATTCCTGGGTCAGGAAGATCCCCTGGAGAAGGGATAGGCTACCCACTCCAGTATTCCTGGGCTTCCCTGGTTCAGATGGTAAAGAGTCTGCCTGCAATCCAGGAGACCTGGGTTCGATCCCTGGAGAAGGGATTGACTCTCCACTCCAGTATTTCGGCCTGGAGAATTCCGTGGACAGAGGAGCCTGGCAAGCTAGTCCATGGGGTCTCCAAGAGTCGGACACGACTGAGTGACTTTCACTTTCAGTGCCATTTCAAGAAAGGTCATTGCATGTAAACTAGAATGCCCAGGCAGTGTCAAATCTATGGGTTAGTAAGATCTCCCAAGTCCCTTCCGTCATTATTATGGTGCCGTGAATTTTGGGTGATTCTGGCAACATGGTTCCTGCATAGCCAAGTTGAATTGTTTTGAAAAGTTCTTTTGTTTTGTGAAATTAATGACTATGAGAGCTCAAAGGGACCTGAGAGAGCCTTCAGGGCTAATTGCCTCATTGATAAGGGAAAGCAGCCCCAGAGAAATGAAATGATCTGCTTAGGCTGGAAAGAAAGAGTTGGTGATGAAGCCAGAATTACAATGAGGAGCTCCTGATGCCTCATACTAATCCACTCTATCCATCCGTCTGTCTGTCCATCCATGCATTTACCTCCCCATCCCGCACCATACCATCTGCACGTGACCTATTCTAGACTCTCTGACCTGGCCCCAGTACTTTCATTTTTGAAACGAGTTGTTGGCTTGTATGACTTACATTTGTCCCAGCTCTAAGGTTGTCTAGAAAGGGCAATTCCCAGTGCCTGAGTGCACGCATGGAGCCTTCAACTTAAAGCATTTCTGCACAA